ATTTTGCAACGTTAATTTCTGCTATTTTAAAAAATGCAGAGAATTCGTCGAAAAAAGTTCCTGCGTCATTTTAGTGTCCTTTACAATTTCGAAAATAAAATTAAAGAAATAAAAGTTTGCAACTGTTTTAAAAAAATGTTTGAAATATCGTTTTATTTCAGTACCTCCACAAATCAAACTATCCGTTTCAAAGAGAAGTCGTAGGCTTCCGCGGCCAGAGCATGATCTTGGCAGAGCATGTGCATGATCTTGGCTGTCCGGGTGACGCCGCGTCGAAGGCTGTGTTGCCGACGTTTCGACCATCTTGTCGTGATCTTCCTCAGGGCTGGCTGGTCTTGCTCATGCATACCTTGTCTCTTGATTTACGAATCAGTGGGTTTTGTCAAAAAAATATTTACTCAAGGGTAGGAACACATTTTCAACGAATACAAATTGATATCTATAATTATAACATTCAAAGTAGTAATCGTATTCTTCAGGTAACATTCTCAACAGCACACTACCGAAAATGTATCATACATACAATGTATGATTGTTACAACACATTCCCAGGTAACATTAAACGATTAAAATCAATCCACAAGTTTAAGTGCCAAGTAAAATCTTTTCCGTTGCATAATTGTTTCTATACAATTAGAGATTTTCAGAGAATAAAAATTAGAGTAAAATTGATTTTAACTCTGATATTTAATGTATTAGTTGCTATTTGGACTCTATAATTCTAAACGTGTAACAAGTATTGTACCTGAGCTTTGTAGTCAATGACCACCATGTCGATCAGGTTTTTCGGCTAATTTCTCTTTGACAGAATGATCCTTTGACAGAATGGTGAGGTGGTTCCTTGATTTGCTTCTGGACATAAATGAAACTTCACTATCTGTGCACTCTTTCTAGAGGTGAGTAGATAATATATTTATTCAAATATTCATTTTCCATGTTTTTGCTGCAGTAAATCGATTCCTTCTCGAAGAGTACGATAAGGGATAACAGCAAAACTCTGTTGCTGATTTCTCTTTTCAAATAGTTCTTACTATACAGGAGCGAAAATTTCCATATGAACTCTGCCAAAAACGCTATTTGCTGTCTATATTTAGAATTCAAGTTAGTATGCATATGAGTTAGGGCAGAGATCTCAGAGCTCAGGAGACCGTGCATATATTGCACTACGTCCTGTAGAACGATATATGACTTTCAACCGTTCTTTGATGCGAATAACAAGTTTTTTATGTGAGAGTGTTTCAGGGGCGAATGTTTTGTTATCAGTTTCACCAAATGCGCATTTTAATCAGTGTTCATAATTAATTTTGGATAAGGCTTAAGGTAGAAGTCCAAGAATTTAAGAAAGCGTGTTAAGAATACGCTTGTCTTCACAGTACGTGTAACACAATGTTTAGCTGTTTTTGGCATGAAATAAATAAATACAATCAATACGAGTATTTGTGTCGAAAAATTGTCGAATTCCGCCACCGCATTGCAGTACTTTCTCTTTGGTACGTAAATAATAGTTTGGAGAGGAACTAAAAATAGTTTCGGGTGTTTTGTAAAACCTTTTTAGCAAAACAGTTTTCGTTACTGTGATTTAGTTTATCCGCTGATTAGGAAATTACTAATTGAGGTTTATACACCTCTAAAATATTTGTCATCTGGGAATATAATTACAATTACAATTATGAATACGACTTTTAACGAAACCCTTTTAGGAAATCAGTCAGTCGTTCCTAGTTCAGACCTATATCTTTAGTAATCGTGATGGAAATATATTAAATAATTTATAATTGGTTCTTGATTTAAGTACATATTTTGTAAGATTTTTTCAATTATACTAAATGAATTACATATTTCGGAATCTTAGTCTATTGATTTATGATACCAAGTATTAAAATACATAATTTTCGATTTCTGCTAGTGAAACAATGAAAAATGATTAGAAAGGAAAAATTGATTTGCTGGAATCAAAAATGAAATTGTAAATATATACCTTTGCAAAGTGCCAGTATTAATTTTTGTGGTACCAAATATGTGATTCTTCACTTATATTGGCATGTTTGCAAATGATATTCTAAATTTAAAGCATTCTGCGTAACCTCCTGTTACGGGAATATTGCATTAGCAGTATTATTTTTGAGCTACTATTGTTCTGATAAGTAAACAATGTTCTTATCATCACATGGTATACATTATTCCTTCCATTTCAATCCCCAAATATATGGTTCAAGGACATTTCGAGGAAGGACTTTAAGACGCTTTCAAATTCGCATCTCCACTAGCTCGTCGTGCCAGCTAAGTTGTCCTTTTAATATCATGCCCCATGTGTAAATGCGCCGGTCACAGCTGTGGATGCACTCTGATTACCATATTTTATTGAACGGTTCTTCGCCTTCATCTAATTTACGTCCCAACTGCGTCATCAATATGCATGCGCAATTTACTGCATCTCAGTAGAGGATGTCTTTTAATTTGGAGTAAATATTAAAGGTTCAATATGGCGCGCGTCCAGTATCCTCTTGATTTATGTATTGCAGCCTCCCTTAGGACCGTACGAACTTATCACACTCACAGCTGACATGTTCCATGTATCGCTATTGCTGCACTGTTGCATTCATTTACTGTCTGTGATCGATTTTAATTGTGAATAGTTTCTATGCTCGCCGGGGCGTATCATGTAATAATTTCATGTTCAACAGCATAGCACACCAGGCTTTTTGAAATAGTTCTTCTTGATACTGAACGTGGTATTAAGTTTATACGCGTCAATGATAAGATTCGGATGATAATTTGAACTAAAGCGTAGCTGCTCACAGGGAAATTCAGATGTGAGTAAATGTACGAATTACTCCGAAAATTATATTAAAGTATACATAAGTGATACACACTAGATACATTTTCAAATTAATTGATAAAAATTAAAACTTAAGCAGTTAAGAACAATAGCTGTTTATTTTTTTAAAAAATAACAGGTGTTCTTATTTTTCATCTATTCGAGTTAACTGAATTCCAGTCCTACACGCAACAGAGACATCAGCGGTATAATATACATTTTGATTTTGAGACAAGATAGGAAGGAGAACAAGAAAAGAATTATGATTTGTAATCAACGGATTTGTTTGGTTACAAATATAAAGTTTTTTATGCTATCTACCCCAAATACACTAAAAAAAATACATATTCTACTACGGCCTGCAGTTGCAAAATGTTGCTGAACAAAACCACACAAAATGGTTATCCCAAAAGCAGCACACATACAGCTGAAGATCAACAAGTAAATACTCACGTATGACATTGCAATAAATTAAATATTTTCATAATATCAATCTCCACGAATTTTGTAATAACGCAATACAGTATATACACAGAAAAATATTTCTTTACATAACCAATAATATTTTAAAAAATTCCGTTCTGAAACGCAATACGTGAGTAGCAAATATTTAATGGTGGGCGGCCTCTTCCTTGCAGCCTTTCTGTTGCCTGAATGTATTGCAAGAAGTGCCGCTTTGAGTATGATAATTGCTGGCATGTGCCATAGGCGGAATAACACAATTAAATATTTTCATTTTCAGTCAAAATCGAAACTCTTTCATTGTCTTTGGATTTTTCTTTAATTCCTGGGTATCACAAAAGTACAAGCACTTATCATAGGGCAGGATGCTACATATTTTTCATTCAACTTCTGCGAGCTTTGAATATTAGTTACACAGATAGGTGACATATAAATTACGACTAACTTTTGAAGTTATGACCAAACGGTCAATAAATGTAAATATCAACTCAGAAACTACGAAATATAAATTTTGTATTTTTTCCTGAAATGCGATAATGCATGACAATGCGCATCACCCAATGAAGCAAATGGATGTATTATAATTTCTTATAATCTTCAAATATATTAAATATATAAAAATCTTACCTTGAGTTTAACAGACTAATAAGAAGTAAATTTTACTTTTTAGCAATCAGAAAGCAGAAATATCCTTTTACAATGTGGGCGTTTGAAGTTGTTAAATTGCTCCATATAAGTAACAAACGACCGTAATTATTTATCATTTACGCAAGTCCCGCGCTCGGTGCACTTGGTGTATTTCCGTGGTACACGGAAAGCCCGCGACTCTAAAAGACGGCCCCGCAAACGCGCAAGAATCCTCCGCAACCAAACATACATCAGCGTCACGAGACGGCGCGCCACCCGAAATCGCAGAGGGTGTGGCCGGGCCTTTCGCGTGCCGCTCTTTCTGCGCTCGGGCCCGCAACGAACGGCTCGAGAGTCGCGCAGACCCGCGTGGCGGGAGGCGGGGCGGGAGGGGGGCAGCGCATGCTTTGTGGCCCTTATGACGGTCACGGCCTGACTACGCCGCCACGCGCGCAGCCGTGATTTAAGCGTGGACTCGATTTTACAAAGGCCCCAGGCCAGGCGTAGCGCCCGCGACGCCGCCAGCAAATCTCCGTCCCGGACGCGACCGGCGCCGGCGCGGGCGGCTCTGGGCGCCGCGGGGATCCGAATGGTGCTCGCCCGCGCCGCCACCCCGCGCGCCCGCCCTCGGATCGGCTGAAGACGCCTTGGCGGGGCCGGCGCCAGCCGGTGTACGCGTTCCGCTTTTTTTGCCGGATCCTGCTCTTGCCGTTTGTCGTTTTAGTCGAATCATCTTATCATCACTGCACTCCACGCGATGAAGACTGTGATTCACTGGCTTTGCATTGCCCGTGACCAGGCTTTAACGATCGCTCCACCCATGTGTTTTCAGCCCTTTCCTCCTACATTCCCTACCTGTCTAACTAGCCGCTATTTCATAATGTCTACGGAGACAAACATTCTGGACAAAAAGCTGGGACTCTTAATCCATCTCGAACGATTCAGAGTTTCCATCTTCATTCGCCACCAAACTTCGCAGTCATACCTGCGATGCCGCCCACCACCATTGCTTAGCGCGCCGGGGAAACAAAACGCCGGGGAAACGACCTTCGGCAGTACGGCGCGCCCGTGTACTCGGAGTGGTTGTCCCTGCTTAACTCCTCTTCCACCTCCTCCCCCTCATCCTCCTCTGCTGGCGCTGCTCCTCGTGCGGGGCTCGTTGGCGACGGCAATCTGCGCGCCAGCCGGCGCCGTGCCGCGTGTTCTTCGGCGGGCGGGGGTTCTCCGCGCGCGCGGGCGGTGGGCGCGGGCGGGGTCGTTCGCGTGCGGGCGCGTGCAGGTGGGCGTGCGGTCGCCCGCGCGATGACGGCCTATCCTTCAAGGGCCGCAGACATCTTGTAATGAGTGCCACACACGGGGCGCCGCCGCTACCGCCGCTGCCGGCGAGATGGATGAGGACCGGTCGCACAATGAGTACCTGCGCACACGCCGCCCCGCCGCCGCCGCCGCATGCGTCACGCGTGGGCGTGGGTGGCCGCGACGCGCCCAAGACGCCGCCCGCACGCACGCAACGCTCGGCGACGCGACGGGTGCCTGCGGCGACGGCGGCGGCGGCGGTCGAGGCGACGACGCGCGCGCGGCAGCTCACGACGCCCGGACGAATCCCACCTGGCGCCGCGGTGAGCGTTCGCACACGGAAGCACGGCACGAGGGACGATAAGTGGCGCCGAAAAAATCCAGTTTTGCGTCCTTGAGCTCATTTCCTAAGTGTCCTAACTCCTTGAGACGCAGTATTTCCCAAGGGACGACATTTACGCTGAAACTTACATCTCAAGGCAAATGATTTCCACTGTTTCAGACAGAAGAAACGCAATTGTTTACCACAATATTTGGTAGCCTGATGGAGAAGCATCTTAGGAATTGATTCATTCGAGAACTAGACAAAAAACGAAAATGGAAGTATATCATTTAGAAAATAAGCTCATTTTTTAACACCCAAACACGATGTTTAATGCGAAAAAATTACATACAAAACTAGTATTTTCTCGAATTTGTGTAGTGTTTGGATATCCATGTAAATTGCGAATTTATTAACCGCAACTAGTCGTAGGGTTTTGTAAATGCAGAGCTAGTTTCGTGTTCATCCGAAGCGAAGATTACCCTCACGAAAGATGTTTTCGATAATACTGCGGCATAGTTTTGAGAAAACTTATTGCAATGTCGATTACTAAAAAACAAACATTTATGAACGGATCTTTCGAAATTGCATCAGATTTCAGACGCTTTTAAAATAGCATAGTACTGTAGATGTTTTAATTGCGATATACAAAACTGGCTTCCTCGAACGTTTAAATGTAGCGACATTCATCAGAAAACCCGATCCCGGTATCCCAGCTCGACATAAAAGAAACATTTCTTCTATAAATGGAAAAAGAAGTCTCTACTACATGAATGGTGTCAATTCATGAAATATCCAAGCCGGCTATACTCGTCATCGTTCCATTCTTGACAGATGCCGAACGTTCGTATAGGAGGATCATCGAAAATCATTCAAAATGGAGCAAACTACGATAAGTACAATAAAAGAAAATGAAGTTAGCAACTTAAAAAATGTGGACATGCATATTTATCTCGAATAAAAAGGAATGCCCAGCATTATAATATATTTACCCTTGATATTCATTACGCTCTACACTAGTCCTAGAATTTCCAAAATATCGGCACATTTCTTTCTTATTCACGCAGAGATATACAATTTTTTAAAAGTCTTTATTTCGTAGATTCTGATATCTATTGGCATTACTTCCTAAACAAGTTAAAATTATTTCGCAATAAGCTCTTTGTCTATTAGGAAGATAGCAGGGATGGAAAACTTTCAAAATTGTGTACAAACATTTTCAGGTGGTTGATGATACTTATAAACAAAAGTATCGAAAAAAGAATTAATCAACGGATTATCGTTTGTCCTTGTAGTAGATCGTGGAGGCAGAGACGCACTTATGTGAAGTGGCTAAGTCAGCGGAAGCACTTTTTTCGCACGACTACTAGCAGGGACAAATCAAATGGTTTTTCTTAACCCTTCTCCATTCTATCCGATATTTGGTTCTACGACTTTCACGTCCCATTTCAATTTCATTTCGTATTCTTCATCCAGTAAAAAGTGCATTTTTTACTTTTTCGCCGTACTACATGCTCACGTAGAAAGTAGAAAGTATTGTAATGCTGTGACAAAAAACAGTGATTATTCGATCGGAAAATTCATACTGTAAGGCCTTGGTATCAAAAGTGTATAAATCCGGTTATTATTTGTAGCAAATTACTTCCTCTAGCACATTGTGTTGTCAGAGTCCATGTTTGCGGGTCTTTGATACAGACAAATTGGTTGGTGTCAAAACGTCTGTTGGCCCGTCCCTCTGTCTATGGTCAACCTTAGCTCGTAAACCGTTCGATTTTCTCGAAAATTAATGATTCCGATCTATCTGGCCGACCTCAAGACTCTGTGAGTATGAAACGGAAATTTTTATTTTTATGGATACTTTACAGAAAGTCTCATCAATATTTACGTAAATAAAAGGTGCCCGGTATCGTTTCGTTTTCGTTGAACACTGAATTTTTCGAAAGAGCATAAATTTCAAAATTATTTTGGTGTCTTTCTAAAACTATAATATTGAATATAGAGATTTTGTAAAGGAAATGTGTTCTTCAAACGCACATATTTAACTACATATAAGGAAATGTGTATGTATTCTTTCCATTATACATTTTCTTTATGTCTCTTCTAATGTGTCTCATCTCTCTCTTTTTATTTCTCTTTCTTTCTATTTTCTCTTTTTTCTGTTTCTTTCTTTCTCTTTTTTCCCTCTTTCTCTATTTTCCCTTCATTTTTCTGATGTAAACTATCTGGTTCTCATATTCAGGTAAATAATACTGAAAATGGATATGAAGTGAAGTTTAAAATAAACAGACACATATACTTCTTAATATTTGTATTGAATAGAGTAAAATATGCAATGTTTGGAACTATTTTACACGAGTTCTCAACAACGAAAAAAGGAATAGCGACTTGGTACTATGGAATTCTAATTATAAGTTCATGGAAATACAAGATGCTTTACAATATAAAATTGTGGAAGTTAAACAATTATTAAAATCCGCTAGTACACCCATTATCTTCAACGCAATCAAGTATACATTGGACTTCCCTTGACGCAATGGGCAAATTCTGAGATGATAGCCAGATTTCTATAGAGGCAGTAATGTAACTCACTTTTGCTGTGCGTAGTTTTCTAACAGATTGATTGATTTCTAGTGATCCCGGGCTGTCAATAGCTAGGTCATTAGCGCCATAAGTGTATTTGTGAGCTCGGAAGGTGGGCATGCTCTAAGCTCCCGACTGGTCTCCCGGCATGTGTGGGAGTGTGTTTGTGAGTGTGTTTGTAAGTGTGTGTAAGTAAAGGGTAGGATAGGATAAGGAATGGGAGGGAAAAAACGCGCGCGATCCGAAGCCCGTTTGGTAGGGTACTGCTCCGGCATTCGCCTAGTATCGATTGGAGAAAGCACGGAAAACTACCGATCAGCCAGCCGCTAGAATTCTCCCCCAGACAGTCAGAATGTGACCTAACTCTCTTGATAGTGTCGAAAATCGTGCTACTGTCGGGACTCAATCCCAGGACTTCTCTGTCAGAGGCACTTCAGTGACATCTATTGATGCCAAAAGCCACTTTTACCAGTAGATTTTCTTACTTTTTTGACGTAAGGAAATAAATAAAAATAAAACTTCGAGTAGGGAATAGAATCACATGTGGAACCTTGAAGTCTTAATCCTTCAACGAAAATGGATTTGACAGGTGTGATTCTATGAATTCAATAACCAAAAAAGTTACCGGTTTGTATAACGACCTTAGATCAGAAAAAAACGTAACGGCTATAGTATATAAATATATAAATATATATGAATATTGGTAAATAACAGTGTTGGGAGTAATGAAAGATATTTTTCCATGAATTTATGAAACTTTTAATCGTATTATAAATGTGTATTATGTATTAGTTATCTTAATAGTATGAAATAATTCTTTGGGAAAATTTTTATGAAATATTTCGTAAAAGGGATTATAGATAATAATGGAAATAAAGTAATATAAATCGCTAAATCTAGTGTGTATCATGAGAAATATTAAGTGTAGTCGTATATTTGAACAATAAATATTTGTAAATACGTTCCTGACGAATTGCAAAGAAATTTTGAATCAGTGATCAATTTAATTCTAATGAAAAATACTAGGAACATTTTATTTGAAAATCAGTTTACCGACAGTTCGCATGTACCGGATACGTTACGATATAATAGGAAAAATAATGCAGCAAATAATGAAAATAAGAAAATGAGATCAAAAAGAAAACAATGAATTATTTTTAAAACAATTTGCCAAACGAAAACTCCTTGAAAACACATTCGAAGAAAAGTAAAATATACAAATATATTATAGTATGACAGACGCTAATGACCATATTGTGAAGAAAAGCGTTATTGAAGACGCAAGAGAAGTCAAAACAATTACAGAGACGTTTATTCAAGATTTAAAAGGATGTTACAAAAACGAAGTAAGTTAATAGTTCTGACTCTTCTTCTCGCAATTGATGTTTACGAGAAAAAATCTGAATGAAAGATGAAACAGTTTAAAAGATGTGTTAGCAGTTAAAAATCAAAATAGCAGCTAGAAATGATGAAAAAGAAAATAGAAGATTGACTATGACTTCGAATTGAACTTTATATCAATTCATAAAATAATAAATTCCGTGGTGGTAGCAGATATGATAAAATAATGGTTATGAAAAGAGCACTGTAAACGACACGTACAAATCATTCCCACAACAAATTGAACGAAAATTACCGAATACAAATAAAGAACGGAACATGTAGTGAATGAAAAAGCTGTATAGTTCGCAAGTATTACAAAATTAATATCATTTATAGTTGATCACATGGTATTGAATAAAGGTGGAAGTCTGATACGCTTCCCTCATTTGTATAATTGTTTAAAAATATGCATTCAAATTCACTTTCCATCGAACCATTTATGTACTCCGAGTATTTCATAACTTACATAAGTAAAAAGTTCCTAATTTATTCATACATTGACATACAGGCCACATAACATATTCTACATTAAAATATAAAAACAAGACCTTTCAATAACAGGAATTCAGAGTCCTCCTACTTCTCAGACATCAGAAGTAAATACATACAAGTTCAATTCAACAGACTAAAATTTTCTTAATGGAAATCACGCGTCTTTCTGCTTTCCAGTCCTTTTTAGAAGCCATTGTTATTGTTCCCTAGATCCTTGGTTAAGAGTGTCAAATTATTCGTTCAAGAAATACAAAATTCTGAACATTAGAACTTATCAAATAATATATTACTGAACATATGAATAGTCCGTTCCGATGAACAAAACATAATAAAACACCGGGGTATTTAACTCTAGCCTTTTCTTTAATTATTACGTTTTTTACTAAATATTTCACGACAACTAGTATTTTCAAAGAAAATGAAATTATTTCATTAAATGATTTAAATAGTCAGTTTTGAACATAATATTTAATCTATAAAATCTCTACTACCCATTTTTGTGAAAAGCTATGAACGTTTAGGCTTGAGCATAGTTTAGAGACAGATGGATAACAGATTGAAAAGAAAACTCTTTTGATATGAAGTATCCACGAAATTTTCAGAAGTTTTCGAATTA